TCTCCTGGTTCTGCTCACTCGACTCAACATCAATGCATGTAAGTCCTTCCAGGCTTTTCTAAAATCTGCCTGCTCATCATTTCTTATAGCACAGTAGTATTCCATTACATTCATATGCCACAACTTGTTCAGTCATTCCCCAATTGATAGGCATCCCCTCAATTTACAATTCTTTGCCACCACAAAAAGATCTGTTACAAATATTTTTGTACATGTGAGTCCTTTTCCCTCTTTTATGATCTCTTGGGGATGCAGACCTAGAAGTGGTATTGCTGGATCAAAGGGCATACACAGTTTGATAGCCCTTTGGGCATAGTTCCCCCATTATTGTCCCAGGACCATCTCATACTGAAGCTGCCTTCACTCCTGTAGCCTCTAGACTCTTTGGACTTTTTCCTTTCCCTTCCCTTTTTAGTTCTCTTTTATGTGGTATCTTTCCTGCATTAGAATGTAAACTCCTTGAGGCCAGGGACTGTCTATCTTTTTCCTTGTATTTGCATTCTCAGCACTTGCAGTGCCTGGCACAAAGTAAGTACTTAATAAATGCTCTATCCACCCATCTATCCATTATCTTTTGGGGAGCATAGCTCCAAATTGCTTTCCAGAATGGCTGTACCAATTCAAAAATTTACTAACAGAGCATAAATGTGTTCGCTTTCCTGCAACCTTCCCAATATTTATTATTTTCCTTATTTGTCTGCTTTGCCAATCTGATGAACATGAGGGGTTTAAGTTGTTTTAAGAGTTGCTTTAAGTTGCATTTCTTTATTGGTGATTTTGAGCATTAAAAAAATTTCTTCCCTAGAGAACTATATCCTTTGACTATTTATCATTTGGGGAATAGCTCATATTCTCATAAGATTGAATCTGTTCCTTTTATCTCGGAAATGAGCTCCTTATTAGAGAAATCTGCAACAAAGATCCCCCCTCCCCAGTTATCTGTTTCTCTTCTAATCTTAGCTGCATTGGATTTGTTTGTGAAAAAACTTTTAAAAACACTATGTATGCAAAATTGTCCAATTTATCTTCTGTCTATTCCCATTTGGTTATGAACTCTTTAGAAGAGGAGTTCTTAACCATTTCGGGGTAATGTCCTAGTGAAGCCTATGGACCTCTTTGAAAAATATTATTTTTAAGTGCATAAAATATGTATGATTACAAAGGAAGCAAATTTTATTGAAATATAGTTATTAAAATATATTTTTAAAAGTTCATGGACCTCAGGTTAAGAGCCTGAGTCTGAGCAATTTTTGAACTACAACAAACATTAGCTATCATTTCTGACAAATATATCATTAGAAGCTATAGGGCTTGTAGATGAAAGAACAGGGGCCGACCTCTTTGTAGAAAATCAGCAAATGATTCGATTTCACTGGAAGAACCTCAGTAGAGACCCTGGCAGTACCTGGGTTGAACTGAGGGGCTCCTAATACTATTGATCCTGTTATCCAACACCATAAACTAAAATTCAAACACCCCAATTAACAACATCCCACTTCCCACCCCCAATCAGAAAGAACTCACTCAAAGTCCCTAATCACTCACTAGTGCAAACCATCAGAATACATAGAAAAGGCGTGGAGCAAGAAAAGGTGATTGGAGATAGTAGCACAAGCCTCTCTCTTTCATCTACTGAGCATTGATAGTCCTTATAATTCAATTCAATTCAACAAGTATTTATTAAAGTAGCTTGCTAAATTTCTTGGCACAGATCTGAATGGGGGAGTGGGGAGGGATGAAAAGACAATTATGCTAAGAGTCCCTGCCCTCTGCTCCCTTGGCAGGGACTATGAGGACAAAATCTTACCCTCAGGGAACTGGCAGCCAACTGAGGGGATACTACATTTACACTGATAAGAAAGTGTGAGATATTTGGAAGCAGGAGTGACTACTGCTTAACTTTCTTAAAAGTTAGGAGGTAGTACCTGCTTTGAACCCGTTATTGTTTTTCAGTCATGTCTGACTCTCGGTGACCCCAACTGTGTCCTCACTTCTATATGCCAATCTTTTATCTGAATGGCTGTGCCAAATCTTTTTTCTTCTCTCCTCCAGCCACTTATGATACCTCAAGCCCAACCGATGGTCCTGGCATCATGCTTCACTGAAAACATTAAGGCCATTTGTCCTGAGCTCTTTCCTCCTAAGTCCCACATTGCAGTTCACTTCATCATACCCCCTCTATCCCGCCCTCCCTTGCCCCAGTTTGGGAGGATGAGATAGCTCCTTCCCTTCACCAAGGAACAACACCTCTACTTACAGGCATTTGATGGCATACTGGTCTTGGAGTCAGGAAGACTTGAATTTCAAATCTGGCCTCAGACATTTACTAGTTGTGCGACCCTGGTCAAGTCACTTAAACCTCTGCCTGCCTCACTTCTTGACACTTGGAAAATGGGGATCATAATAGCTCCCAAGGGTGTTATGAGTATCAAAGGAGATAATATTTGTAAAATACTTAGCACAGGGCCTGGCACACATTAGTCACTTAATAAATACTCGTTTCCTTCCTCATATTTTTATTCCTGTCTCCTCTGGTACCTCCTTTAATTATCCCCTTCTCACCCAAATTTCCAAACTTTCTATGTTAACTGGCTCCTTCTCTGATGCCTTCAGACACAGATACATCTCTCTGACCCTTAAAACAAGACACAGTGTAACCTCACCTGACCCTACCGTCCCCTCAGTCTATCCTCCTGTATCTTTCATCACTTCCACAGCAAAATTCTTAGGAAAAAAAGCTTTCTACAAGAGTTACTTTCTACGTTCACTCTATTTCTTAACCCTTTGCAATCTGACTTCGGTCCTCCCTACTCTACTGAGACTACTGTCTACAAGTGACCAATAGTTTCTACTCTTTATTGCTAGATCTAACGGCCATTTTCTCAGTTCTCATTCTTCTTGACCTGAAGTATTTGATATCGTTGACCATACCCTCAGTCTGGATTCTTTTTCATCCCTATGCAAAGCAACCAAAACTGGAGAGAGAATCTTGAATGAGAAGAACATCTCTTCAGTCAGTTTGGCTTTTTCTTGCTGTGTGACCATGAGCAAGTCAATGAACATTTGTGAGTTTCAGTTTCATCTACAGAGCAGAAGTGATAACAGTACCTACAACACAGGTCTGTAAGACCCAAAAGCAATAATATAAAGTAATTTACAAGGGCAGGTAGATGGCACAATACATAGAGCAATGGGCTGGAAACCATTAAGACTCAGCATTCCAAGTTCAAATCCAGCCTCCACACTTACTAGCTGTGTGACCCTGGGCAAGTCACTTAACCCTGTTTGCTCCAGTTTTCAAATCTACCAAATGAATTGGAGAAGGAAATGGCAAATCCACTCCAGTATCTTTGCCAAGAAAACCCCAAATGGGGTCAGGAAGAGTCAGACACTACTGAACAACAAAATAATTTACAAAAATTTAGCAATATATAAATATGAAGCATTATGATGGTGATGAGATAATACATGCAAACAGAATAGCTAGCATAGTGGGGAGAAGGCTAGACAGCATCCAGAAATACCTGGGCTCAAGACCCACCTCTATGGTATTGGCTGCATGACCCTGGGCAAATCACTTTATTTTTCAGTGCACCAAGGCTCTCTAGAAGACTTCAGGTTGCAAAGAAGATGTGCTCAGACCTACATAGCTAGAAGGAATTTCATCTTAGAGTTCTCCATATCAAAGAAATCACTATCCCTATCCACAATCCATGCAAAAATTCTTTGAAAAAAAATTTAAAAGGCATTATATAAATGCGAGGTATTTATGAAATACCTCAACTCAAGTAACATGTTCAAGGGAAAGCTAGGTGTCTTATCAAGATAACTGTTATGATATTTGCATTTCAAACTCAAGCTAGTTATCTTTAAAAATCATGCATTTTTGCCCACTTTACAAAGCCAATCACAATGTGTGCTATTTTGTATCTCTCTTCAGAAAGTATAATTAACATTTCCCTGTTAATTGGAAAAGAGAAATTGTTAATCACTTCCATAGGGTTCTGCAGCCCAGTACAATACATTAAATTGTTTTCTAATAATTATGATATCACAATTAATGCCCACAGAACTCTGGAGCTCACGATAGTCTTCGTTCAATATATATTTTTGAACCTAGCTGGAGTCTCTTTTGCCTGTAAATAAAGACCCAAGAAAGCCTCTGAATTCCGTTTCTTTGGGGCAGGGGGGGCGGAGTTTATTATCATAAACTCTGTTACAAAGTTAGGTCTGTTTTAACAGGAGCCTAGCAGCACAGGTAGCTAAGTAGCCTGGCTTTTATTTCCAGTTTATGAAATCTCTGGCCTTTCTCTACAATGTTGCTCTTCTTCCATTCATGATTCAATAGCCTTTTCTGCTTTAATATTCTTTCAGCATATTGTTTCCGTCCGTCTCATTTCTGCACCAGTATGTGAAGAGCAGGAGCCCGAATTTGCTTTGTGGACACACATTCCTATTAAGCACTTTTCTTCTCTTTTTCCTCCCCTTCACCCTCCTCTCTTTCTTCTCCTCCTCCCTCTTCTCTTCCTCCTCCTTCCTCTTTCCTTTGTCCCCGCCCCCCGTACCCCTCCACCCCGTCTCCCCATCCCCCAGCCAGGACCGTGTGCTCATCGCCACGCAGCAGAACTGCACATCCCCCCAGGAGGCGTGGCTTCGGAGTCAGGATGTGCCGGGCTCTGGGGAGCAGCTGCATCACGTCACACCCAGTGCCTGTCAGTCCGCCTGCCCGCCCGCTCTCACTCTTACATAGGTACTCATCCCTAGTAGATGTCTAAGCGTCTCCCATCCCCTCCCCCCATCCTCCTCCCTTTCATTATGCACATGTATAAACAGCCTCTTCCAAAGTCCAAGGCTTGCTTGGACCTTGCTGGTGGTCCAGATGAGCTCCCGGGGGGGTCTGTTCTGCTAAGCTGAATGTCCCCCTCACTTTCTCTCCCCCCCTCTTTCCCCCTTCCTCCTGGTCCCCCTATTTCCCTCTGGCCTTCTCAAGAGGCTCTTACCTCAGACACTTCCCCTTTCTCATTGTCATTATCTCCGCCTTCTGCTCTCGCTGCAGTTGGAGAATGTGAATGTGAAAAGCTGCATTTTTTTTTAAATTCAGAAGGACCATAGTAGCCCATGGGGGATGGGGGTGAGGATGGAATACATGGAAAAGTTGGGGGAAGGGCGAGTAGGAGGATCTTCCTTCCAGAAGGAGAGCTGCCTCAGCACTTTAGAATAGCTGCCGAGTAGTGGAGAGAGCGCTTCGTTTGGAGCCCTGTTTCCAAGTCTTGGCTCTGCCCTGGTATCTTCTGTAATCTTGGGCAGAATCCAGAGTCTAGCTGGCCCTGTGCCATAGAAGGCGGCAAGGTGGTGTGGTGGAGAGCTCGCATTAATATAGCATTTCAAGTTTTGCAAAATGCCCACTTTCATATTTGCTATCATTTGATCCTCAACAACAACTTTAGGAGGTAGGTGCTATTCTCCTCATTTTCCAGAGGAAACCTAGACTCCAAGTCCAGCTCTATCCACTGCATCACCTGGCTTTTTGGACTTGGCTAGAACCTGGACTTGGAGTCAAGAAGACTGAGTTCTAATTTTGCCTTAGGCACTGGCTGTGTGACGCGGAGTAAGTCACTCAATCATGACTTATTGCTTAGCCCCAGTTTCCTTATCTGTAAAATGGGCATAATAATAATAGCAAATACCTTACAGGGTTATTATGGGGATTCAATAAGAAAATGTTCGTAAAGTACTTTGCAAATCTTAAAGCGCTGTATAAATGCTAAATGCTACCTGTTATTGTCTATTGAAGTTGATTGACTTCCCTGCATCTCAGTTTCCCCATCTGTAAAGTGAGGGGGCTGGTTTGGTTGATTACTAAAGTTTTAGTAGCTCTAAATTCTACTTTGTATCCATTTTGCACATGCCTATATGTGGACATGTTCTCCCATTAGAATGTGAGTCCTTAAGGGCAGGGACTGTTTTATTTGAGTGCCTGGCATATAGCGGGCATTTAATAAATGCTTGTTGATTGATTAAAATTCTCTGATTCCTTTCATTGGGGCCACTGCCACTTCTAAGGATTTGAGGTACCATCTTGTTTTGGTTGAGGCTTCACAGACCCAGGTTTGAAGTCCGTTCTGGAAGATGTATCTGGAAGCTCACCTGGAAGGGAATTGAAGCTCAGTTCTATGCCTCTTTCCTTATCTGTTGTCCTTTCCTATCCTCTGAGTTTACATATTTTAGATTGGGAAGATTTTCAGAAGTCAAATATTTGATTATCCTACCTTTTTACTTTTTTATAGATACCTCTCTTTGTGTATACAGAAGACCATAGATTCTTATTATAAGAGAAGATTTAAGTGATTATATTATTCTCCAATGATTGTCAGGCAACAGTCAGTCAGCAAGAGGGCTTACTATGTGTCAGGCACTGTGGTAAAGCCCAGGGCTACAAAGTCAGGCAAAACCAATTCCTGCTGTCAAGAACCTGACATTCTTTTCTTTTTTTTCCAATTACATATTAAAACAATTTTTAACATTTGTTTTTTTTAAATTGGAGTAACATTCTCTTCCTTTTCTTCCCTCCCCCCTTGAGAAGGCAAGCAGTTTGATATAGATTATATGTGTGCAGTCACAAAAAGCATATTTCCATATTAGCCATTCTGGGAAAGAAAACACAGACCAAAAGACAAAACAGAACAAAACCCAGGAAGCATTCAGACTCTATCAATGGTTAAATAGCTATTGATTTATCAAGATAGCTAGATCATTCACCGTTGATTATAGTACAGTATTGCTGTTACTGTGTACAATGTGATCCTGCTTCTGCCAAATTCTCTTTGCATCAGTTCATATAAGGCTTTCCAGGTTTTTCTGAAACTGTCCTGCTCTCATTTCTTATAGTGTGACAGTATTCCATTACATTCATATACCACAGCTTATTCAGCCATTCCCCAATTGATGAGCATCCCCTCAATTTCCAATTTTTTGCCACCACAAAAAGAGCTGCTGTGAATATTTTTGTACATATAGGGTTTTTTTAAAAATCTCTTTAGGATACAGATCTAGTAGTGGTATTACTGGGTCAAAGGGTATGTCCTTTGGTATAGTAAGGACCTCACATTCTAATGGTGGAGATGACTTGTAAGCACCTAGCTCAAAGGGAAAGGCATTAATAGCTGTTGGGAGACAGGGGTAGGATCTAGGCTAAATTTTGAGAGAGTACAAGTGTACTAAGAGGTAGATTCAAGGAAGGACAGCATTTCACTCATGGGAGTGCCAAAGTAGGGAGGCAGGAGATAGAGTCTAGTGTTTGATGAACTGCAAGATAGAAATGAGACTGACCATTTAGATCTAGGAATTATCTCCATAGATATTATAATTGAATCGTTGGGAGCTGATGAGATCACCAAAGCAGATAGTATAAAGTGAAAAGAGAAGGCCCAAGATGGAGTCCAGGATGGAGGAATGGGGATAGCCATGAAAGTGATCATGACGTGGATGAAAATCTAGTGAGAGACTAAGAAGAAGTGGTCAAACATGTAGGAGGAGAACCAGGAGAGTGGCATGAATTGAGAGGGAGAAGGACATTAGATCTGGTAATTGAGGGATCCTTGATGATTTTGGGGAAAGCAGTTTCAGTTGAATAATGAATTCAGAAGCCAGAATGCAGTAGGTTTAGAAGTGTGAGAAGAGAAGTGGAGGCATGAGGTATCCATTGATGGGTTGAGGGATGCTTACCCTGAGCTACATTTCTATGCGAATGCAATGTCTTATTAGTGTTTTAAATGTTCTGGTATCAAAGCTTGTGGAGCTAAACCTCTGCAATCAGAGGAATCATCCTCTTCCTCTTCTTCCTCCTCCTCCTCCTCTTCTCTATATGTGACTTCCCCAAGCTCAGAAAGAACTAGGTAAGGGAGAGACTGGACTCCAATTTAGGCCTTTTGTTTTTGTGTATGTGTTTTTTGTTTTTGTTTTTTTGGCTAGGCAATGGGGTTAAGTGACTTGCCCAGGGTCACACAGTAAGTGTGTCATGTGTTTGGTCCGAGGCCAAGATTTGAACTCAGGTCCTCCTGACTCCAGGGCCAGTGCTCTATCCACTGCGCCACCTAGCTGCCCCACAAGTTAGGTCTTTTGATACCTAGGCTAGCAATCTTTCCACTGTATAAGGTGAGATATGTAGACAGCAGTTAGCCCAGTGCCTGACACACAGTAGGTGCTTAATAAATTCTTACTCCTTATTCCTATATTAGCGCTGACCTTTAGCTTGAGAAAATTTTGTATTCCTACAAAGCATACAAAGTAGGACTTAAAAAAAATAAAAGGGAATGCAAATCATTCTCCCCCCTTGGTTATATCTGGCAAAGCAAGGAAAGAATTTCCATTCTTTTATGTAGAGTGTTGAGAATCTATGATAGGACATTATCCCGTGGCCTTGTGAGAAGCTAGGTAGAAATACTCTGGGCTGTCCATTGTCAGTGGTTTTGTTTCAATCGTTAAACGATCAATAAACATTTATTAAGCACCAGCTATGTACCAAATACTGTACTAAGCTTTTGTCTGTAGTTAAAGTTGGGAAAAAAGCAATGAATCTGGGTAAAAGGGACGTGCCAAATTCACAGGTTTACAGTGCAGTCCCTAGGGTGTCCCCCTTTTGCAGAGATGCTGAGAGGACGGGAGGAGGCCTCAGCTCAGTCGCTTATTTGCTTGTTAAGAGGCCAGAACCTTCCTTTCTGATTCTAATTAACCATTTGCAGGGCTGTTTGGAAATGCTAATAGATCTTGGCTTATCTCATCTGATAAGTCCTCTTTGGAATTCGTTTTCCAATCCCTAGGAGAGGGATTTCCAGGTGCTGGGCGGGGAGTAACAAACTCTGGGCTGTTTAACTAGGCTAGGATTTATGCAGCCCAATTCTGTTTAAGGGAGGCTTTTTCTTGTACTTACTTGTTTTTGGTTTTTATGCTTTTTAAACTTACTTTTATTTTCAATAATTACACGTGTACTTACTTGTATTAGAGTCTGTACTCTGTAGAATTTTTTTCCAGTCCAACAAAGATGTTTCCCAAGTGGGGAAAATGCGCATCAAGCGAGCTCCCTAAATACATAATGACCAGTTGGAAAAGTATCTTTCTTGAAGTAACATACAGCCCCAGCCGGCCATCTTTCCAGCAGAGACTTGGCAGGCTGGCTGTCTCCGGGAGTTATTCTTCATTAAGTGACTGACAAGCTGCGTGAACCTGAGAAGTCATTTGTCCCCTTTCTGTCTTTGCCAAACCTTCAGATGGAGAGAGGAATGCTGACAGCTGAGTCCTATAATCCTTTTAACTAATTTTATCTTGTTATCTTAAAGGTTGGAGGGAAATGTAGAGTAATGACCCCAGCTCAGTTAGTAAGCGCCCAGCAGCACTGGAGAGCTGGCTGTGAGGTTCACCAGGCCCCTTCCTCCCAGCAACCCTGTGGAGGAGGGAGCAGCACAAATCGCTTTCCTGCAGAAAATGCATTTCCACATTGATTCCTTGGGAAAGCAAATGGGAAGCAAATGGAAAGGAGGCATAGGATGCAACAAATTTATTTAAGGCTTTCTATCTGCTTTTCAATTTAGGTCTCCCGCTTTTCATTAGGTTTGCTTGTATGGGGCTTATATTCATGGCTTGAATTTGAACGTTTGCAATGGCCTTTCTTTATAGAAAATGGACTACTCTTTAAGAGCAACCTCATGAGTTTGCAAGTCATTGAAAAATGTGTGAAGTATAAACTGGATTGCTTGTTTAAGCATCTTCAGGTGCTGTACTATTGAAGGGATTGTTCCCAATGCCTGGAACATTCCCTCTTCATTTCTGTGTCGTACAATCGCTAGTTTCCAAGACACGATTCAAGTGCCTCTGTCTTGATGAAGTCTTTCCTAACCTCTTCCTAGTTGTTCTACTCGTAGGGTAGAACTCCTGTCTCAGTGGTTGTTTTTTTTTTTTAGGTGAATGTGATTAATCTTGAGGTTAGCTAGTAAATGTTTAACAATCAGCTTTCTGGGGGGAAAAGTATAAATGGTCTTTACTTGTAATTGGAAAACATAAAATACCATTTAGAAGGAAAAAAAGTACAAATGACACATTGTAAAAGTTTAATCTGAAGAATTATTTTCTCCATCGCTTTCTGAAGTCTAGACAACGAACAAAACAAAAAAAAACAAGCCTTGATTTGTGCTGTGTGCCAATTTCTGAGCTGAC